GACAAGAGCCAGTTTGGCATAGCTGTTATAAGGAATAGGCTAGAAAATGAGGAGTTCTGACATTATAGTCGTGCCTTGCCGCAAAACCAGCTGGGTAAACCTGGGTCAGTCATTCTCTCTTAGTCTTAGGAAGGAGGCAGTGGAAAACTGTCTGAAAAACTCTAGGGACCAATCCAGGTAATCACCAAGAGTCAACTCTAACCCAAAGGAACAAAATAAACAAATCAAAATACCCACTTGGTACGTCTGTATTTTCTTCTACAGGTGTATCTGCAGTGGATAACAACTACAACACAGACAAAAAAAAAGATTTTTAGAAGATGTTTGCTTTTTGAAAAGATCCATTGTTCACACAGAGTTTGCTAACAGTAATACATTTAAACAATCTTTCTCAATACGACTCCACCGGGTAGATTGAAGCTGTAACATTTGAGAACTGTCCACAGGTTGTAGTGCCAAATTATCTGGGTGCCACTAAGTGGGGGAACTGGTGAACTTTCACCCTAAATATCTGCATGTACTCTGATTAAAATGCTACACTGCACTTGATCCTAGCTCATAGAATGTTTCTGTTTGTGCAACAATGGTCAAAATTAATCAGGTACAGATAGTTATGATCATAACTAAGCTCTGAATTATGGTTATAAGTCATGCTAGTCATTAAGCAGGTCACCATGGGATTTTAAGATCTTTTCAGCTTCAGTTGTTAGTGAATCACAGAGGCCTTTATGTGAATCATTGTCCATCATGGGCATTTTTTTTTGCTGAAATCAGAAATAAATACCAGTTTCCAGGAAACAACCCCCCCTCGTAAATCAGTCATGTGACCACAGGATGCTGCAAACACAGAGCAGTTGCCAAGCTCCCACATGCAATCACAGGGGTGGGGGGGGGGAGGAGTGAAACAGAAATTTTGAATCTGGGTTGCAATAACTCTGGGGAGGTCTATCGTCACTTCAAACAGTTGCTAAGCGACCAGTCACAAGTCAAATGTTACTTTTACTGCTTGTCCACAACAGCCAACACAGCTCATGCATGTTATTTATCCAATTTTATAAAACTTTTTTTACAGGCTGCGATTTGGCAGCATATTTATAGCCTTTAATCGCTCAATCTTTTAACTCTTATCAAAACAGTCTAGGAACAAACTGTTTTCACGTTATGCTTTATTTCACAGCCTCTGTGGTCTTGGTTAAAGCTTGAAAACAAATGGATTGCACTGTTCGTTTACAAAACCACAGGGCGGTGGTCCTTGCCAGAGACAGTATTAGTAAGGGGGCTGTAAGTGTAAACCTTCCCTCCTACCTCAAGTACTGCCTGTCAGAGCTTACCCTATTCTTGTAAACACAGTCTGAAGAGATAAAGTTCAAGGTAGTATACAATTTTGAAAACAGGCTAATTTTCTTAACAAATGTGTGTGTACTATGCAAAAGAAAAAGCATGCTATTATTGAAAATGCAACAGTACTTGCATACCTGTTGAAGAAGATGAGGATACCTTGCTTGAACTTGGCGGACAAACTCTGGACCCTTTCTATAAATCAGGTATTCACAACTGGAAGAAAAGTATACCAAGCTTAAGTTTTAACATGCAGGATATCTGCTCTTTTAAGAATATTTATTAGCCACAATGCTCTGCTTAGTGGGCCAAAGACATATTTATTAAAACCTACCCAGGACAAATACACTGAAGTATTAAATACAGTCAAGCTGTCAAAAATGGAATTTAGATGTGAAAAACATTATTACCCAAATAAACAGAGAGAACCAAAACTAATCAATCCCATCTATGAGGCAGATAATAAGTATATAGTAGTCTTTATTTCATATTCAATTTATATCCTGTTTATTACATCTCAAAATAATCCCAAAAGTATTAATGCCAAACATCTCCACTACAAATGGAATCTTTATTAGATGCAATTGTATTAGAAAATCAAGAACTGGGTTTTTTTTGTATAAGCCCTATCTTAAGAGCTGTTTGGCCCACAGCTTTAGAATGGTGAGCTAAAATTTTATTCATTCCTAAGGTTTTGTTCAATTCCATGGCCAAAAGGAGTTATTTATTCCATTCCCTGCATTGAAATCACTTTTTAAAAAAAATCTAACTTCAGCTATTCAGAATGCCATCCAATCACTACAATTCTTGACTAGAACTTGTGTAAAAGAGCTTTTTAAGCACTTTAGCATCTAGTGTTCTTTAAAAATTTAAGTATTATTTAACCCAACAGAACTTTTGAAAATAGCTTTTGAAATAACTAGAGTAAGAATGCTGTTATTCTTGAATCAATATTCAATATCTTGCTTTCCACAGCAGCTAAGAATATGCTCCAGGCAAGCAGAAAAAATTTCCCAGCATGTTGTTATTATGACTGTGCAAATACACCCAAAACTTGTGTATGAACAACCTCTTTTCAAATGAGTGAAGCAACTGTATGTTTCTCTCCAGCAATATATGGCAGCTGTATCTAGGTGACTGAATGAATAATATGCAGCCACATCTCGATGCGTTTTCAGATAATTCTGACCAGCTTGAAGTTCAGTTCTATGCAAGTTATGACAGCTAATAATTCCAGGTGCTCTCCAAAACTTTGGATTCATTTCCTGAATAGCAATGTTCCCTCACAAATAGATCTCACTGAGGAATCCTTTTCAGAGACACAGTTCTGCTTTCAATGGGACAAAAGTATTACAATAACCTCTTTGTTATTACATTTGAAAGAAAATGAAGGATACCTTGGAAACCATTTAGCATGCTCCACCCATGGATCATCCCCAGTCTCCCAACACCTGAGTCCACCGTCACAACTGAAGCATTTGACGTCATCATTGCGACCTTAACAACAAACATTTCATGAGGTAAATTAGACAGAATGACAAACAGTAAAAAATGTAAACTGTTGAAAAATCAGATGAAATCCAAAACATGAAAGAACAAGTTCTTACCCACGTAATAGAAGCCAGCATCTGCCAGTTGCTGTGGGTGAACTGGAACTGTCACTGGCCACGTTTTGAAAGTTCTGAAACGGCCTATGCAGTTTTGCATGCCCGAATTAAAGCCAGTCAAACTGTTTTGGATTTGTTCCACAAAAGGACAGTTTGGAAAATGCCTTTGATGTTCTGATATAGCATTGTCCTTTGGTTCCCAATTACTCAACTGACCACCACAGGCAAAACAAGCCACCCTGTCTGAAGGTCCTACATAATAAAACCCGGCTTTGGCTAAAGATGTTGGGGACAAAAATGTCAGGGGCCATGTCTTGAAAGTGAGCAATCTGCTTTCTTCCGTGCTCATCATAGGGTTGAAAGCCTTTGGCCTCAAAAGTGACAGGTCTTCTACTGCTCCAGATGTCACTGGGTTATGAGGAAAACTGGAAAAGCTTTCATTGTAATACCCAACTTGACCCAAACTTAAGGCTTGCATTGAAGCAGGTGAAAAGTTAAGTCCAGAGGTAGCTGGAGGGGAGAAAGCAGAACGAAACGAGGATCCAAGGCTAGTCATTGAAGTCAGACTCTGAACAAAACTGCAACTGGGATAGAGTTGTTTATGCTTCTCCATGGCACTGTCCCCTTTTTTCCAGTTATCCAACATTAAGCCACAATTGTAACATTTCACTTTGTCTTTCAGACCGGTGTAATAGAAACCAGCTCGAGCAAGACTCCTTTCAGATACTGGTACATTCGATGGAAAAGTGGAATATGTAGACATCCTGTAGAGTTCACACGATAAGTCATATTTCAGCTCTGTCACCTCTGCGTCATTCTTCAATTTCGGCAGAAATGAGCCAATAACATTCATGATGAAGATAAATCAGGAGAGGAGTAAAGGACGAGTCTGAAGTTTGGGAGATAATTTTGTGCAATTCTTATCAACTTCCAGGCCATAATAAAATAAAAACCTGAAAGTTAACATTACATGCAATGCTTATTTTCTTTTCTTTTTTTTTATTACTTCAACTTTAGTAGTTTCTTTTTGACAGGGTAATTTGTTCCCAATTTCACAATCCAGACTTTTTCTTCTAAAGTTACATAATTTTTACTAAAATGAGGAAGGAGCACATTTAAAATAAAGGAAGTTTGATGAAACAATTAAGGTTTCAATTAGAAGCCTATATACATGGGGCCTCTGTCCCAATGAATCTCAATTATTTCCAAATAAAATAATGAATATTTTTTAAACTTTTTATTTCTGAAAAAGGAAGGTCAAAATAATGAATGTAAAAGGGACTATCTGCATGGTACTACAGAAAAGCCAACTTAAATCAAATGCACGTCTCTGAATACTTCTCCTTACAATAAGAAATCATATTTTTTTTTATCAATGTACCATTTCACTCAGTACTACTTCACAAAAAAATTCCTCAAAGATTTATCATGACACATATCAGTGAAATGTGATCAAAGGAATTTTGATCATCCAAAGCTCTTAACAGGTTTGGATTGTTGTCTTTTTTATTTTCTCACTAGTGTGGTGAATTTTCAGTCAGGCTGCACTATTATTATTAAAGGGTTACTGAATTTAATAAGTTTATAGACGTGTCTAACCCAAAGCGGTTTAAATTTGTTAACCAAAATATCATTGCAGATAATGTTTGATAAGCGAATGCAGCTGTCCTGCATAGTGGCAAAAACCAATTTGAATATATATGCACAAAATTATCTCCCAAACTTCAGACTCTGGTCCCTTCAAAGGGCTTAAGCAGCCATAATGCAATATGGTATTCACAATGAGAAATGTTTACAAAAAGACTGAAAAATACATTTTTTCGGGTTACGGAAACCTGCATGAGAAGAAAAATACATAAGCTCCCTTAAACCACAATTAACTTTGTATATAAACTGTTATAAATAATGTATATATAAAGTTTAAACTTTATTCCATGGTTATGTTTTTAGATTAAAATTTAAAACTTGTGGTTCATCAGTCACAAAAGATTAGAAGTGCACAAACTCCTATTGTATCTATATTAAATCATCAATATACTCAACTTTTGCAAATTAAAACCTTCCAGACCTCAACTTCTAAAATTCAGATTGATTAGATAGCTATGAAAAAACACTTTTTAATATCTTAAACTTCTACTTACAATTTCCTCTAGATAAACACTTTAACTCAACTGTGCCTTTTAATTTGTAAACCGCTTAGAGAGGGCTGAAAGCCCTATGAAGCGGTATATAAGTCTAATAAATAAATAAATAAATAAATAAGTATCACTAGAAGGCAACAGCCGTCTTTTTTTTGTCCATGTTACAAAAATAACCCTGGATTTCCAGCCTCCTTAAAATAAAGTTGCTACAGTAAGCNCCCATCAGAATGTGTCACTGACCCAGATTGGTTCCTATCACCAACTCAATAGTTGAGACACTATTGAAGAAAGGAAGAATATTCTATTTCAGGCCCAAAGATTTCCCAATCTTGATAAGATGCATCCATCTTATCAAACTAAATTTTGAAATACTCAAAATATTAAGCCAGCTCAGTTTTATAAACATTCGTAATTCCTATTATGAGCTATTTCAGCGTAACCTGTTCTTAAAAACATTGCAATCCTTATATTCCATATACCATTCACGTCTATTTAATAAATTATTTACCTGAAACATCTTCCGTTGGAATGTATGTCATATTCTTCTCCACTAAAGAAAGTAAGTTAAATATTGTTAGATCAAGTAACAAATTACCTCAAATTCATTAGAATGCAGTTAACACACACCCCATCTCCACCGATTAACAATTATTAGCATAACAGCAAATGGCTTTTGGGAAGTGGAATCAACAGAATTTCCTCTGCATTATCTATTTCATATAAGAGGAAGAAAACTGTTTGCAATTCTTACCTATGAAGAACTCATAAATCCTTTATAGTTGGGATTTACAGTAGACCAGAGTTACAAATTCTCAAGAAAAAGACAATTCAAAGCATGTATCTAAGAAACTCACCAAACAAATCCTTGTATAATGCAGGATCACACTCCTGTAAACAATTTCTGAATATGTCTGCTGCAGAATTTCCTTTCACCAAGATGGTGTCAATCAGTTCTCTAGCTTGCAAAGATGTCTGGGTTTTTTGTTTAATAACTTGGTGTTCCTGGTCACTTATTACTTTGGAACTTAATAAACTTTCCAGGATAGGAAGCGTACATGTCAAGCGCTGAAACAATGCCATTCGATTCTTTCTGATTAAGGCCAGATCTGAAATATAATAAACGAAAAGATGACACAGGGCAGACTTTTCTATTAGCAATTTTAGCAGAAAATGTGAGTAAAAATGGACATTTCCCAACTCATTCAGGGGAAGGGCATAATGGGGGCATCAAGAATATAATGCAGTACCTTGTTTTCCCAAAAATAAGACCTCCCAGGATAATAAGCCCAATCAGGCTTTTGAGCGCATGCACTAAAACTGCTAATAGAAAAGTCTGCCCTGTGTCATCTTTTCGTTTAT